AGGATGGTGTAGGTTTAAGTTTATTAGATTGATACATATATACCAACAAGACTGTGTACATCACTGTCACAACAACGTTTGTTTTCATTCAAAGGCTTTATGGTTTTTCCTATAATACCTGGTGGGCCGGTCTCTACTCAAAATGCCTGGGCTGTTTTTGTTTTTTTTTGTCCCAGTCCAGCCCTGCCAGAAGTGTGTATGTATGTGGATGAGGTTACAGTGGTCTTTGTCTTTGTGCTTTCTGAATGTGGAAACATAACTAATTTGATTCTCTGTGTCTCAGACTTCTGGTCTGACAGAACTCCGCTCCATGAAGCGGCCTTTCAGGGCAGACTCCTCCACCTCAGGGCCCTTATCGCTCAGGTAATCTTAAATCTTGATTTGTACGTTGAGTACTTACAGTCTACAACCCGAAGACTTCTTGAAAAGAAGTCAAATGAAAATCCTCTGATCTCTCCCTGCAGGGCTTCCATGTTGACACAGTCACCATGGACGGGGTCACGCCGCTCCACGAGGCTTGCCTCGGGGGTCGTTACGCTTGTGCCAAGTTTCTTCTGGATAATGGAGCAAATGTAAGAAGGAACAGATACATTTTTCTGTCATCAAAGAAACCCACAAGTTTTATTTTGCTTATCCTTTTTGAACTTGATGCCTGATGGAGATTATAGATCATTTGGCTATTGTCCAAAACAAATGTGAGGCCAGGCATACATTTGATTTATGTGACGTGAGATAATTAGGTCATCGCTCACTCTTGGTATTTCTTTCTTAGACAAACAAAGACTTGGAAAATGATTCTGTTTAACTTGTCTAGCATTAAGGTTTCATAAAAAAAAGAAAAGAAAAGAAACCCACAGAAGTATAAGAACGTCATATCGTAAACCCTCCTTTGTTGTGCTAGCATGGTCTCAAACACGTTTCAGAACCTCAAAACTTTGAAATTATGTACAGATGCACCCTAAAGAGGTTACAGAAAAGGCTACATTTTTAAAAAATATATTAAATTAAGAGCATTTGGGTTGGAATGCAGGCATTTAAAGTCTTTTTTTCCAAATAAAGATTATTTTTGCACTCATAAGATGAATTACTTTATCTGATATTTTGTATTTAGTGATAAGAATTTATGTACCGTCTCATTGCTTTGATCATACATGAAAGTGGATCCCTTCACTTTTGGTTTGAAAAGTATTTGATGGATTGAAACTCAATCCTAAACTTCACATACACTAATAAAACGCTTGGGGTGGGGGGAATCTAACAATTCGTTTTATCATTGTGAAGTTGATATAAAAGACTTTGGCTTGTGTCACAAGAGAGCAAACCCAGCAAATGGACTTTAGGCCTTCATGTATTAAAAACAACCCCTATATTTAAAATTATATTAGCTTGTCCAGCTAAATAATCAGAATATTAGTGAGGGCTTATGTGTAAGTGCCCCAATAACCTCATGGATGGATGGATGTTATAAAAAGGGCTGTAATTTTTAAATAGTTAATGCAGTTCTTTTGGTAAACCAATTAATTTACAGCTGAAAAAATCTGCACCTCAGTTGCTTGATTTGATTGGTTTGAGCATCGTACTCACTTTCCTGTAAATTTCACTACAGGATGCCTGAAATTGTGCAGTTCAAAAAGAGCTGAGCTCATTTGCGAACTCACAGATTCTCCCGCTTTACCACAGATTTTTGTTTTCACACGTTTTAAACCACATCTGGTGTTGTTGCTGAAGAGTTTAGATTTTACTGGAGAAAGGTCAGAGCTGAAATCTGCATGCAAAGAGGCCTTCAGTTGTTGGTTGTCTCGTGTGTTTGCTGTGTTTGAGCATTTGTGTATGTTTGTGTCACATGCATGAATAAATAAATGAGGTACACTCCGTTCTTTTGGATGCATTTCCTCACAAACATCATTCTCAAGGCAATGGCAGTGTCAACAGATGGCGCCACACCTCTCTTCAATTCCTGCAGCAGCGGGAGCGCTGCCTGCCTCAAGCTCATCCTGCAGCACAGTGCCTCCATCCACACCACCTACCAGCTGGCATCTCCAATCCACGAGGCTGCCAAGAAAGGTACACAAAGGTATCCATTTGCAAGAAATTTCTGGTTATGAATGTGGACTACATGTCAGCATTTGTCATCTTCTCCTCCAGATCACAGAGAGTGCCTGGAGCTGCTGCTGGCCCATGGAGCTCAGATTGATCTGGAGCTGCCTGACGTTGGGACGCCGCTCTACTCTGCCTGCATGTCCCGGGCTGCAGCCTGCGTAGAGGTGCTGCTGTATTCAGGTAATATAAGTCAGGAATAATCACCAGTCACACCTTTGCTTTTTGTTTGTTTCAGTCATGAAAATTAAGGCACTTCAAGGCCCAGTCTGTATAATAGTCTGAAGTTGTTGTTTTTTTTTAATGAAAAACTCCACTCTTTTAATTACACAAACCAGTCT